AGGGGGCTGCCAAGGAACGTAGACGATGATGAGGAATATAGAGGGTTTGGTATCAAGAGTATGAGAGAGATTCTGAGCGTTATTCTTGGGTTTGCGCTCAAAAAGGTCGGCGCGCGCACACTTGCCGTACGGGGCGCCACCATCGCGACGATGGGGGGGGGGTGCATGAAGACGGGTAGAGACCACGGATCTCTATTATACTAACTTATATTAGAGATAAGTTAAGTTAAAGATCAAGATTAGATTAAGATTAGATACGATTAAGATAAGATTAAGTTAGTATAATAGAGATCAGTGGTCTCTACCCGTCCTCATGCACCCCCCATCGTGAACTGGGGGCCGTTGTTCAGAAACATCGTAAACTTAATGCTAATGTTAATGCTGAGATAGCACTTATTACGTCTAATGTTAATGTTAAGAGAATAGCGTTGACAGAAACGCATCGCAGCTATCGAGAAAACCTACGATAACTGTAGCTTCATAATTTGCTGTCACAAGGCTGCTGATTGGATGAGAATCGATCGCAAAAACTCAAATTCGTGTACATTTATTGTACATGAATTATGGCATGAATTTATGCATATTATAATAGTTAATCACGCATAAATAATAACCGATAAAAAAGGACATGAGCATGTTTTTATTCCGCACTCCAAGATAATATTCCGCACAGCAACACAAAACGCGAGCGTCATGACTCATCAAAATATCTGAAACAAGAGAACAATCGCCACTTGTAAATGTTTGTTTTGGTGCTCGATCGGTAGATAAGTAATGTGTCTGACGTGTTTTCCATTAAAAACACTCGTTGTACTAATCAATATAAAACACAATATCGCTATAATTGCAATTGTTTGTTGCTGCAATTGCGTGATTTTCATCGTGGTTTTAAAGTTACGAGAGGGTCTAGGATCTCGTAACGCTATGAAGATATTTGCTAGGATTTTTCATTCTCGTAAGTTTACGATGTTTCCGCCAACGGTCTACGAGTCGAAGTTAATGTTAACACAATATTACACAGAAAAAGCGAGTGTTTAATACTGTTAAGACACGAATGTTAAGACTAGCTTTATTCTGACAACGAACCACTGTTCCGCGGTCTTGTGGCAGCGCCACCTGGAGGCGCTAGTCGCCGAGCAGGGCGGAGTGACCTTGAGTCGTCAGCAGGGGGCGCTGTGACGACACATCGTAAGCTTCCATTAGTGCTCTCACGTAGCCAATAAAAACTCACGGCCTCTAGGGACCATGTCAAGTCCACAGCGCGGTGCAGCTATGTTAGCTGCAAGATGGCCCCCGCGCCGTCCGCCTGCTGCCGGCGGAGCCGCGACGGGGCGGCAGCAGCAGTCTAGGAAGGGAGTCGCGTTTTGTCTGGAGTATTCAATGTTTCTATCATGATGACTCGTTTCTTTCGTTCTTTCGTTCTACCGCCTGCCGTCGGGCGTGTGCGTACGCGCGTGCGTGCATACCTGTGTGTGCGTGCGCGCCGAGGTTGCGTGGAGGCTGTACAGGCTAGCAGCTTGTGAAGCCATGAACCTGGGAAACTGTGAACATCCTAGCAATGATAATAATTAACGAACGCAAATACGCATTGTCCACACATCAACATCAGCGCCATCTACAGGCGATATATATATGTATAATTATGTATATCTAATATATATTTGAGTTCGTATGTATGTATGTATGTATGTATGTATGTATGTATGTATGTATGTATGTATGTATGTATGTATGTAATACTCGAGAATCTTAACTAGATACTAAACACGGCGTTTATAGATGCGTAGTCCGCAGAGAACATCATAGATAAATGTAAACGTACTTACCTTACCGGCTGCTGCTCCTGATGTCCACCTGACTTGCTGACCAAACGTTGACTGCTTTCTAGCGGCGTAGTAAAGCTTACTATTTATACGCGGTCAGTCGGCCTTTTACCTACACGTGACGTGCTATAAGGTCACCGTAAATATCAAACACACCTTGTCTGGCGTGCGGTGGGTTTCACCTGCGATTGGAATTAAGATGAATTACCTGTCGGGTGCTTCAATACTGATCGTCACGTGACCGGTCACTCTGGTGTGTCCGCCTCACCTGTTACGTTGTGTCATTTGTGACATGTTACGAGGATTCACGTACGGATAGAAAAAGCTATGATCTGCATTTGGGAGTTCTTATTTTTTATTGTTCTCCCTGAAATTTTTCCCCTATTTTTTATTTGCAGCTATTTGTTTTACAAAACACAGCTTCTCACAAACACTGCAGCCTGCCCAATTCGCACACTGCAGCTTCCTACTTGCAATTTCTCCATTCAATGTATTCACAATAGAACAATAACAATTGCTTCTCCGCCGAACCAATGCCGATTTATTACAATCTCCTGCTCTACTAACAATAACAACAATAATAACAATGATTATGCACATACTGTGTTATCACGTTACCCATGCAAAGCAGATATCTGTGCAACGTGTCCATGTTGCGTGTCCACGTTATGTATGCATGCGACCTGTCCCAGTAACGTGTCCATGTTATGTATGCTGCTCAGTAGTGTGTTCAATTTACGTGTCTGCGTTATATGTGCATGCATTAGGTTTCATTGTAACATACTCATACAATCGAGTCGCGTTATATACGCAGATAGCATTGCGATGTAACGTGTTTACGTTACGTGTGCACGTTACGTATGTTCATTACATCCCGCGGATGTATCGCTGGTTAGCTGAAACAGCGCTCTTAAAACTTCTCTGTGCCATGTAGGCCCTACTGGGTTTCTGATTTTTGAATTGGATCGAAATCATGGATCTTTTCCTTAAAAGAAATCCATGTTTTTTTTACTAAAACCCTATCACGTAATATACACCACAAGCTGTCATATTATTGTTTAGAAGTGTTAGCGCTCGGTAAGCCCATGCAGAGAATTAAAGCTAGCCGTCAGTAGCAAGCAAATCTGATCTTAGTAAACAATGTTTCCAAATTCATCTCACAAACTAACATAAACAGGTAAATTCCTAAATCTTCTTCACATATGATTGAATAATTTCATCGGATCTCTATAGTTCGCATGCTAATAAAGTTTATCTCAGTTAGACCCAAATTAAGTTAAAAATAACTTAAACTGACGAAATTTTTGTCAGTGTAAGTTATTTTTAACTTAATTTGGATCTAACTGAGATAAACTTTATCAGCATGCTTCTTCACATAGCTAGCTCGCCTACGCGTTTCTAGATTCTCCTACGGTCGCACTTACATCAGCAACTCGCAACACAATGAACGAAGTGGCGTGCGAGGCACGTCTGGGTTTCAATAGATATTTAGCAGAACATTTCCCTTCGATTTATTGAGAAAAAGGAAATACAAATTTATGCAGCTTTGGTATCTTTTAATGTTTATTGTGAGCGAATGCTTTAAAGAGAGAGAGAGAGAGAGAGAGAGAGAGAGAGAGAGAGAGAAAGCGAGTGAGAGAGCAGCCTCATCAGCTGCTGCTTGATGCTAAATGATGCAGACAACAACGTCGACTGGGACTCAAGCGAGCTAAAGAGTTAAAAGACAACATTAATAAACCACTACTTGCAGGAGCAAACCCACGCACGCGCACACACACGCACACGCACGCACGCACGCGCACGCACACACGCGCACGCACGCACGGACGCACGCACGCACGCCCGCAGGCGCATGCACGCCCGCACGCCCGCACATACACACACATCATGCAATCATCCCCGTGGCTTTGTCATGGCTTCTCTCTCTCTCCTGTCCCTCGCTCTGTGCTTGCGCGACCCGCTGCCCTCGTCCTAACCGCTGCGCGCGCGACGGTTGATAAAAGTCCATTATCGTGTGACATCGCGACACAGTGTCGCACGCCCCCTACCGCATCTCTTTAATTAGAATATAATCCCGTTGCTGCGGCGTGCGCATGCGCACAGCGGTGCGAGGCTCAGGCGCCAGATTGCACGATTAGTGGTGGCCGTGGTCAGTAAGTAAGTAAGAGTTGTGACAGGCTCCCCCACCTCCCCCCGCTCAGCCTCCCCACGCGCGTGTGATATGCGATTAGCCACCAGGCTATTTGCCGGTCACACCTCGCTTCTCCTCTATCTTATATCGCCTCTCTATTTTCCTACTCGTTTTCTCTTTCCTTATCTTTCTTCCTGCTCTCTACCATCAACATCTATTTTCCACCTACTTCTCTTCCCCCGCTCCACATCTCGTATGTCTCCTCTGTGTCCTCTTAACGTTCCCCATCTTTTCATTTCTCTCCTCTATCTTTCTTCCCCTCTACCTTCCCCCTCTGACCGCCTCCTCCCCCTCTACCTTTCTCCTTATACGTTTCCTCGCATCTTTCTCTCCCACTCACTCGTTGCCTCCTTCATTCGTACCTCTCCACTCTACCTTACCTCTCTGCCTTTCTCTCCCACTCGCTTTTTACTCAATTTACGCGTACTCTCCCTTTACCTTCCCCCTCTCATTGCCTCTCCCACGCCTTCTTTTAGCACTTATTTACGCGGACTCTCCCCTCTTCCTTCCTCTTTGACTTTCTCCCCCCACGCGTTCTTTCAGCGCTCGTACCTTCTCCCCTCTACCTCACCCACTCTGAATGCTTCACCCTCTACCTTTCTTCTCTGACCTCCTCCTCCTCCCCCTCGCTTCCCCGCCCCCAGCAATCAGCACGGATTCCCGCTACACGGAGTAATTTACATACTGTCATTAAATGAAAAATTCACATGCTTTTCCTATAAAAGCGGCCCGTGTCAGGAATGCCGTAATACTGATTGTGCTGCTATAGCGTGGGCAGCTGCAGTGACGTACAGGCAGGCAGCAGTGACGTACAGGCAGGAGGAAGTGACGTACAGGCAGGCAGNCTGTGCACAAAGAATAACAGAGCAGGATTAAGGTTTGCTCACGCTTTCAATGTTAGTAAGTACACGAATACAGCGAAGGGATGACGAAAAGACCATATACGGTCATCTAGTCAGCCATCCCCTGGTAAAATTATAGTACGCCGACGCATCAGCTACAGCGCCACCTACCCGTGAGATCTATATGTACGTGGTCGTCGTGGTGATTGTGGTGATGGTAGTGATGATGATGATGATCAAACAGGTTGTCGTCAAACACATTCCTGGCGAGGGTCGTAAGATGGTTGCCAGACAGGTCGATCTCCTGAAGCGAACATCGTAGAGTTATTCCACCTTACATCTGATTATCTCATTATCTTATCATCAGTATTAACTTACACTGGCCACCCCATCCTCCCCACTTACACCACTTTTAAACAAGTTTAAAATTAATTTTCAAAATTAAAGATTTGCTGAAAAAATACGGTAATTCCGCGCGGCCGTTCTCAGGGAGTCACACGGACTCCTGCATAATATGTCAAATCAGGAAGTCCGACAGTAAATCAGGACCCATGCTCTCACCCTCCCACACCCTCACCCCTCTCACCTCAATGTCTGTCAGTCCCCTGAATGCATCCTCTGCGATGTAGTAGAGGTGTTGGTTGGGCATATCGACCGTACGGATGCCTTCGGTATCATCAAAGGCTCCCGGAACAATCCACGTCAAACGGTTGCCAGTGAAGTCCAGATGTTCAACGTGATGAAGACCAGCGAACACGCCCTGCTGCAGCGACACCAGACCATTGCCGGCTAGCTCCAGAGTTTCCAGGTTTTCGGCGTAGGCGAAGGTGCCCGGTTGTAGGTAAAAGACGGCAGCAGAGCTCAGATCCAGAACCTGTATGTGGCGTAGTCAGTGTTGCTACAGATAGTGATGGCAACCGATCGATAATCGAAGGCAAACGACTGATTATAATCGATATACGATTTGTAACTGCTCAAGCGCGTTGCAGTGTTGGGAATCGGTTGGAATTTGTTTTGAAACAGTCAGTGGTGGTACCTTCAGGTTAGTCATGCCGCACAGCGCCCTTTGGTCGATGTACTCAAGGTTGTTTTCGGCCATGTTAAATTCGACGATGGCGTTGTGTGGATAGCAGGTGTCGTCGTCCATGTGAGGCCAGGTGATGTCGTTGCCCTTCAGGCTAAACCTTACTGCAACAGGTTACATGCTTAGATTAAACACTCCACTACGGGCAAGTCTTAAATAAAA